CATTATGAATAGTTCTGTATAATAACTTTTGCCCCATTTTCCTATTCCTTGATGTTGGGAATGTTTCACAAAAGAAACCCATGTTGCTGGAAGAACATTCATCAAAAATACTTTACACAACCATTGAGATACAGTAGCACAGATTTTGGTCAAAATCCAGTAGTGCCGTCTCACAGCAAACTAAACCTTTCCTAGAAAGATGAAACACTGATGCTTGAACAGTCGAGGCCTAAAACACTTGCAGCTTTACGTATTTAGAATTCTATAAATATGTATATTCACACACAAATACACGAAGAGATTTATATAAGACAGGATGCATTTCCAAGACAATGGGCACTCCTGTCATAAATTATAAAATAAAGTCAATTAGAGTACGAAATTCCCCTCCCCCTCCTCACACAAATCCAATTATCCTCATAGGCCCGACCCCGCAGCAGTCTGAGCACATAATCTAAGAGACAGTGCGAATCACCACATTTTTCAAGGTCATTTATAGAAAGCAGTCCAGGTATTAGCATGAAGCTAGTTGTTGGAATTCCAGCATAAACAGGTTCCTCTTCAGGAATTTCAGCTCTACCAAACACTCAGGCATTTTTCCAAATCTCACCCTAAGAGACTTGTACATATAAATCCCAGGGACACTGGGTAAAATTTAAGGTTATAAGGGCTACAAGTTATGTTAGGAATGCTCACATTTCCATATTCCCTGTAAAAACGTTTGCTTCACTGCCACCTCACTAGAGAAATGAGTGGAATATTGCTTCATCGGGCTTGTTTGAGGCTTTACCACATTGTAAAATGGGTAGGTATGTCTTGGGTCTCCCTGTGACCTCCCCAGATCTCTACATTCATAGTTGTAACTACTTATAGAGGAAACAGTGAAAACACAGATGAAGAAAGGATCAGGAAATAGGAAAAAAAAAAGAAATAGAAAGGTTGACCCCTAACAGTGTTCAGCCATAGAAAAACCTCTCCTACACCTCCAAACCAATTTTTTTGGTCTTTTTTTTATAGTTTCAGCTTAGAAGACAGCCAGCATAACTGGTTTGCTCATAATTTATGATATTTATATTATCTCCCATGTAAAAAAAGGACTGGCCAGGCACCAAAGAGGAAGACTTCTTTGTCTTTGTTCAGGTTGCTGAGTTGTAAGGTAGAGCCCTCTAGAGAGGGTGGGAGATTGCATCTTCTGTGAGGGAAGCTGAGCACCTCCAGCTTCAACAAGCTTCTGGAGTGCAGGACTGCAGAGGCACAGGAGGGGTCTGCAATGCAAATGGAGGCACAGACTCCCGACAAAAAGGAAGACACAGAAAAACAGCCACGCCAGGATGACAGATGCCCTTCTTGCCACCAGACACAGAAGTGGATGTGCAGAGTTTGTTGCTTTTCAAGACACTTTATTTGAAGTTTCTTAAAGAGAGACAATTGCCTTGAGAAGACATTGGGAGGAAAGAAAGTGTCTTTCACAAACCCTTTTAATTTACACCTATCTCACCCAGGCACTTAAGAGTTCCCTGCCTATCTAAAGTTACAGCACAACCTGGGACAGTATGCAAAAAAAACCCACCCTTGCTTTAGAGATTCTTCCTGTGCTTTTGGTCATTCTACTTTAACGAAAGGATATAGACACTTTCCTCTCAATGTTCTGGCCAACACAGGGTCCCACCACATGAAGACATAGCAAAGACAGACCCAATCAGACCTTATGCTGCAAAGTGAACATAGGCCACATTTGCTGCAGTATCTCCAACCCCTCCTGGCTGTGAAAGAGTTGATAGAATTCATCAATCCACTTCCAGAAGGAAAACATCTGTCCTGTACTTGCAATGAATTAAGAACCAAGTAGGAGTGGTACCTTCCCCTCTGGACCCTGTGCAACGTTTAAAAATGTCACATGACAAACACTTTCTTGCACCACATTCCTCAAGTGCAGTTGTTCAGCACAGCGATGCCTTTCCTAGCATTACCTATTTTCTTAGGTTTTTCCTTTCTCTTACAATGACCATCCTTACCCCATTTCTAACCAAATACTGTACAATAATATATAGCTAAAGAATCTCATTATGAAGCTTGTCTGAAGTTCCCATGGCTTTCTCCTGCCTCTATGTGCCCCAGATACCCGACTTCAGCTTTAAATGATGACAAGAATATTTGTCTTTTATCTGAAAACTGCCCTTGCCTAAAAAAAAAAAAAGACAAAAGAAAAACCAGGTTCTGCATAAAATTCTCTATGACTAGACTGCTCTATCACCATGGTACAAACCTGTTCAAAATCTGACACACATACTGCAAGGCTCACCTTTGTCATGACTTTTAGAAATGGAAGAATTAAAACCAGGTAGCAGTAAACATACTACAGATCTTTAAAAAGAAATCTGGGGGTTGGATTTTTGCTGCCCTAATGTTGTCATGGAATATTTCATGTGTGATTTGAAACACCAGAAATGCAAGTGTGAATAAAAATGAAAAACGGGCAACAGTTCTTGGCGCATTTCTCATCTGTCTCTGGATTTTTCTCTCTCACTCAACCAGCCTTTCTCCCCACAGCTCAGGTGGCAAACCCTGCTTCTGCTCTGAATCATGCATGCTCATCCCAACCAGTTTTTTAAAAAAGTTGCAGATTTGCATCTAGTAATTATCACAATCACAGAATTATTTTAGATGTTATAAAACCATATTTGTAAATATCATTCTTCAGAGTTAAATGTTATAAGATAGTACTATTTTCCAAGGCATTTTTAAATCTTCGTTGTATACATGATCTGCTCACTTTCTTCAGCTATCACAGTGCGGAAATTCTTTGTCTTAGGACATTATTGGTGCAAAACATTTACATCAAATTTGAAAAGGAATTGGAAAAATTCACAGCAGGAAAGTCACATCACTATTTATTAAAGACATGACCTATGGCTAGAGAAGTCTCTGAGCTGCAGATCTCTGATAAGACTGACTTTATGAAAGTATAGCCTATCTGCTGCCTCATACAATTACTCTTTTCTGGACATATGCCATGGCAGATGGGATATTGGATTCAATGGACTGTCCAAGCAAAGTCTCTCTCATGCCTGGAAGAACACATTCTTCATTCGAACTCATTTCTCAAGAACAGATGGAAGATGAAGCAAGCAAATCAAGAAAACGGGTGCATCCAGGTGACCAAACCATACCAGTCAGGCTAGCCAAAACAACCTTTAGCTTAGGGTTCATCATCTGCTACTCTACTTCCTTACAGGTCTTCAGCTTCAGAAATGTGCCAGATCAAAGGCTGTATGGTTTTTTTGAAAGTAATTTTTGTCTTCTTTGCGAGTCCTTCCTGTCACATGCCTGTACGTGCGTCATGACACAAGCACGAGGACCAAAACACAGGCATCGGCACTGACACCCATTCATACAATGGGAACATACCTGCCAATTGCAATACACAGCACGTCAGCAGCCCAATACACCACAGGTCCATTCCCATTGTGTTGGCTCCAGTCTAGTCAAGTGATAGATCCATTTCTGGGCACGGCAGAAGAACGGCAAATTTGCTATAGCCTGGAGCACCCCCTTAAAAGGCTATGAGGGACACCATGGCTAAAATACACCATTGTGCTAAAACAAGTCAAGCACACTTTGACAGGCTGGGTGAAAACCAGACCATCCCATGGAAGGATAAAACACAGTACACAGGAATTTCTGGTTGTTGATGTGATACCTGCAGATTTGAATGGATGTGTCTAACGGTTGCCCCTTTCATAAAAGAAACACAACACTGAGATCTGCCACAGGCATCACTAACTTCATGTGACATCAGGTTTGTTATTTAAGCATTTGGCAGAATCCAATAGCCCTATATCCTCATTCTGCACACCCGCAGAAGCGATGCCAGATCTAAGTTTTTCCAACACAGTAACAAAACTAAGCTTGGTAAACAGACTGCTGCTATTTCAGTACACTAGTTTCTGTTTAAGTTCAACCTGATGAGTTAAACCCCTTGAGCCATCATACTGAGATAGCAGAGACTCCAAACAGCATCAACTTAAAAAAGTATCAGCCAACTCTTACCCTAGAGTGTTGTCACAGCAAAACTCAGAGCGATATTAAAAATGTAAGTTGATGCTCTGTGTAAATTTCTTCCAGACATCATAAAAGGTGTCTTGAGACTGAAATAAGACTAAAAGTGAAGTTGTCACTGAACATCTGTATTCACTGATAGCCCCTATTTACATGACAGCACCCTTTCCTTCACACAGATTTCCCACACACATGCACACCTTTGCAAATAGTTTGCATCTGAAGAAAAGAAGTGGGCTGTTCATCTAATCAATAATGCCATGTCATGCATGGAGCTTCTGCATAAATCCAGAGCCAAAGATGTCAAGTACGTCCCACTCCAATGATTATCAGGCAATGAAGTAAAAAGATGCACTTTTCATCTCCACAGGACTGTCGCCAAACCCTTGATGTAATAAATGAAACACGCCTGCTATTTCACCATTGCAAAATGGTACTGTAGATACCTTACAACGTCTCTGTTTGCAGGAGGGGGTAAGTAGCTCTAGATGAAGTGCAGATATGTTATTAAACAATGCACAGCTTGAATCCTGAGGCCAACACAGATGACCTTTAGAACATAAGCACTGTCTAAGACAAATATGCTTTCATCTTTGGGGAGTACTTTTTCAAGTAAAGATTTAAGAGAAAAACAGTTTAGAAATACGTTAAGCACAAATGTGCCTTCAATCTCTTAATGCTTCATTTTAAAAACAAAACCACAAGCAGTATCACATGTCAGAAGAAAGACTAAGTACTCTTTAAGCAGAATATTAGTTAATTTAGTGAGATCTTAGCTTCGTTTTCAATTAAACAACCCAGTAATTAAAGCACAGAGGAAGGAGATATGTGATATAACTGAGATCCAAAATTGGAAGTATAGCTAAAATGAATCAGAAAAAGGCTTTTTTTTTCATTACAAGTATATAAAAACAAAGATCATTATTTCACTTGAGAATCCCTTAAGTGGGCTGAAAATACAAAAACATAACAAAACCACACTGAGGCATATAAAACATAAGGAAAATGTTTCTAGAGATGGATTAAGTGAAATAGTAAATGATACAAAAAGAAAAAAAAGTAATTTTTCATTTTGCACGTAACAGGCTGTTATCATTTATCTTCAGTAAAGGTTTTATTCAGAACTGCATCTTGACTGTGATGCTAAGTAGCTTTGACACATACAGTGATATTTGCTTCATGGAAAAGCATGCATTGGTAAGATAAAATTCTTTCCCCCACAAACTATGGTTTGCCGATTCTGCCAAGTTCTGAGCTGCTCTGCACAGCCTGTTTTTCCATGAAAGTTAGTGGCAAACTATCACAACACCCTACGACACTCTGCAAAGCATCTTTCAGGTTGGAACCTCCTGTGCCTGAAAAGCCTGTATCACACACTGGAATCTTCAAACACAGTGAGCTTGTTATGTTGGGGCCTTTTGGGGTTTTTGTTTTAAAAAATTTCATTTCTTACCTCAAATTCAGCATGGCGGTTAATATCCTCTGCTCTCTGTCGGCTCAAGATAAATTCTGCTTCATTAGCCACTCTTACCAAATGGTCCTTCATGGTTTGACTCAGCAACCTGAGGACAGAGAACATTTCAGAACTGTCTTGAGAGAAGAAAGTCTCAAAATAAAAATCAGTAAATACAGTATATATACACAAATATTTTCAGCTCTGGTATAAATAAGGTTGAAGGGTAATTTTCTGGCAACTAGTAAAACTGTATTTCAATAGTAAACCAAACTAAATATTAAAGAAAATGTAAACACTCCAGACAGTCATTTGTTTTACATGAAACATTGGTATGTAAGAAAACCTTTCACATACACACAACACAAGATATAGAAAAGCAAGCAGTTTATGCATATAAACACCCACAGTGAAAGTCCTAATGCAACTGATGTAAAGTCTATACAAAAAATTGTGAAATGCACTGCAGTATAGTTTTTTCTCCAAATGTAAAATTGGAATTTTATGTTAAGTATACATTTAAGTAATATTTTCAGGATTATAAAACATCCTCAGTCTCACAAATGAAATACTAAGTTATACATTGTTCCAAGTTATGTACAGAATAAAGCTGTAATTCAATCTGAGATTTCAGAGGCCTTCATAAACCCTGAGTTTATGAATGGCAGCAGAGCTGACAGATTGAATTACAACCCAATTATTCTGTGAGTTCACATATTGTTACTAAAAACATTTCCTTTTTAATTAGTTACATTGGGATTCATAAAGTTAAAACCAGCTCTACAGGAGCTACACTGGTTTAGAAGGTTCACATTTCCGTAGGATCACTCAAAGATACACCAGATAAATCCACTACATGTTCTACTGGTTAGTTTTCCAAAATATGCATTATTAAAGATTTTTTTTTAAGGTTTTCAGTTTCTAATGCAGGAAAGAGTAGCAGAACATAAAATCACATATTTTCCTTGCACATATAAGCTAAAGTACATTTCAACAAGTTCAGTCTACTGAGAGCCTTTCTTTACAAACACAGGATTTATTATGCAGGGTGCCTTCTGACGTATGCAATGTTAATTTTATCCCCTAGAACATATTATCTGAACTAAGGTTCCCCCTTGTCTCCACCTGTACATTTGATAGTATGATTATCAATGCTCTGCTGCCTTCTTTTCCTGCACTCTTCACAATTCCACACTTGCGATACGCTTGCAGGTCACAAGCCTACCCCAATCAGAAGAAATCCAGAGGCAGAACAACATCTGAAACTCTTTGTTCATGGCCTCTCTCACTTCAAGGCTAGGAAAACTGCAGCACAACAGCTAAAAGGGCTGTGATCATGAACCACTTAAGTCAGTGGATTACTGTCTCCACATGGATGAAGTCTTGACAAAAGAAGTATGAACAATTCATTACATGAAGTACGGCTTCGTCTTCTGTTTGAGGAGCTGTGTACAGAACCCACCACTTTAGAGCCACAGTAGATGGTTCTACGTTTTAGAACGGAAGTAGCTGTTACCAACAAACATAGAGTTTGGCCAATTTAGCTGCATGCATTAGTGACAAACTTCTACTTTCAAAACTTTGCAGAGCCACCATCGCTGCAATAGTGTACCATCAATTTCATAACTTTTCATGGCTTCAAAAAAATTGGGAAAATAAAGTAGACAAGAAGGCATTACTCATACACTAAAAAAAAGAAACCCCAAACCTCCGCCTCTCATCATTTACATTAATATGTTCAGCTAAAAATAAATCCCTGCTAATAAACCAGCAACAAGGAACTCTGCATAGCCAATTTCATAGTCTGGGCAGATTCCAGGCATTTGATTCCCCTCTTTCTCCAGGATCCCCAGTAGCATATTCAAATCTGTCACATAAGCATTAAACTAAGAACTGTCTAAAAAAATATGGGTATCATAAATACTCATGTATTATGATATCATGCATTACAATTTACCATGTAACACAGTTGGACAGTATCCCATTATCTTCATCCAGTTTGCCAGTACCAATACCTCCTGCTAACCTGACTGGATTTGAAAAATACTAGCTATCCTTTAAAAGTCCCACCTTTTTCATCTGTTCAACGAAGTACCATATATAATAATTGTTTTTAACGATTTACAACATGGATCTTCCTTTTTATCTACTAAACGTAACCAGTAACCAGACGAGTCCATGACTGAGTGCACACTGGCCCTGACTAAGCATTTGCAGAGATGATGGATGTGTCCCAAGCAAAACAAAGTACTACTTTCCCTCACTCAGGAGCAACAGTCTCAAAACAGACTAGAAGTGTACCCTGTAAAAACAAATAGCTTTTGAGTACCAGAAAGAGCTTGGGCTCCTATAGATCAGTTGTCACTTTTGTCACCTCCACTTCTTCTTACTAATCCCACACACTTTCCTCATTTTCTCTATCATTTTCCATAGAGGGCCAGGCCAGGTAGATAAAAATTTACACGCGATTTTGCAGATAAATCCTAGTCAAATTTGTCATTTTGGCAACCAAAAATTCTTATGGCTAACAACTATGGAACTGTCCAAGCTTAGCACAAGCACTTACTGGTAACTTCAAGCTGTTCTCACAAAAAGGTAAAAGTTTCATATGATTAGCTATCAATTATTATACAGCTACTTCCCTTCTTACAAACTACCAAATTCAGCAACTAATAGTTTTCAGGAGATGAAGATAAAAATAATTTACTAATACAAATGAAGCTGATACGAAGTAATTGTCTGGTTTATACCATGTCAGCAGTGTTCATCATTTACATTCAAGAACTTCAAATTTTACCTTTTCAGCCACCTTTTCCAAATACTGCATATGCTTAGATTAACTTTATTCTATTAATTCAAGTTGTATCATTATCTAGGTCAGTTTGTTTGGGTGGTTTTTTTTTTTTTTTTAATGAGAACAGTATCCACATACATAGCATTCCACTCAGATTTCTATTTGCAATGTACCTCTAAGTATGCAACTTAGCAAACTAAATATATTTCTATACATAAATGTAATTATGGCACGATGTAGGAGAGTATATAGCCATCGTCAAAAATCAAAGGCAAATACAAGACCTCAGCATCTCTAAAAACAAATGTACCTCTGCTTAGATGCCTAAAATGAAGCTTTAATCCTCTACTTCCAAACACTAATTTTGGGAACCTTGGCAGCTGCTACTCTTCCATTTGAGGCAAACAAAACATTGAACAAAAATTTGTTAAGGGTGCTCACTGCTTGCAATAGAAACAACTGTTTCCAGCTGAGCAGACCACTGCTGAGGCAAGGAGAAGTATCTGACTTGTGCAAAAGTATTAGTTCAGCTCCAAACTGCATACAACACACTTTGTACAAATGTGAGTGGCTAGAAACTCTATCAGCTGACTTTGTGACAGACAAATGCTTTCTTCAAAAGAAAAATATTATGTATAGGAAAAATCTGATTTTCCTCAGTAAGACAGTGAGTGCGCTTCCTGGATTTAAAGGATCATAATGGTTCTTACTGGTACCTGCTCTGGCCTCCTACACAGAATTGATCATGCATGCTTCCCCCAAAATAATTTCATTTCCTCCATCAAGTCTGTACTTCTGTTTGGGCTACAGCATAGCTTTCAGAAAGATGCCCCAACTTCTTTTTTTAAGATTTGAAGATATTTTACATCATGTTCTCCTATAAATATATTTTATAATAAGGTAATAGGTGTCAATTAAAAAAATAAACCACAAAAGAACCCAATAAACAACCACAACTATTCCTTGTCTGCTTTTATACTGTTTTTTATTCCAGCAACTAGATGACATTAGTTCTTTTTTTGTTAAGTAAAAAGTCTATCCAAAAGATCTCTTTATAAATACTTTTTTTCACAGCGAAGGGACAGCTTTTCACTTCTCTGACTAAATAGGTTAATTGAATCTCTTGTGTTTTTCAAAGTATGCACACCCAAGCTGAAAGAAAAACTGGTCTAATATTTTCCTTCCAACCTATGCATTATAATCTCTACATGCAGGCCCATGGACCATGCTTGCCCTGTACTATCTCACATACCTGTTTATTTATTCAGTGTTAAACACCGAACTGCTGTTGAATGTGGTGATTTACACTCCTCCTTCCCTGATACATTCCCTTCTGGTTTGGATTTATTTATGATGAGTTTCTGAATTAATATTTTTCCTGATATTCAATAGGAAAAGAGTGGGGATGGAGCATGGACATGTTCTGTACAAGTTAGACCATAATAGTTATTGGGGTAAAGACTCTGGTTACCAGGCCTAGTCTTCTGCTTTCAGTGCACACCAGACTCAAGGTCTCACACAGACTTTCCTTTCTTGATCTAAGCACTTTTCTTTCTGGCACTCATGTGATCAACTTTTAAAAGATGAACTGCCGAGTAAAAACAAGCAAGGAGACGGAACCCATGCTGGAAGTTAAATATATACTTGCATACTTGGCTGGGTCAGGAATGAAGTGCTAAACCACTGAGAGAAAGGGCTCCAGCCAAATACATGAGATGTTCTGATTTTTATTGTTATGCTGGAAAAGAAAACTATGAGATACTAAGCAAAAAATCTTCATGATTTCTGGCTGCTGAATACTTAGATGATAAAGTAAAAACACAAGTTTCTCCCTACAACAAGCAAAAAGGATAAGGTACAAGAGAGAAAAAATGAAACAGGAAAATATGTAATACATATGTGTAAGCAAATAAAGTGAGAGATGGATAAATTCTGGGTTAGTATTACTGATGTCCAACAATTATCAGTTTTAGTCAAAATACAGAGTAAGTTTTACAGGTGATATTTACAATGGCTGCTTAGGCATAAATCTCTCATAAAGTACTACAGGGAGAGATTATGTATGTTCCAGATGCCACCACAACAGAGAACTCTGAGATAGCCAAGAAAGGAGGATCAAGCTAAGCTTTCCTACTTGCACTCCTCATAAACCTAGCATGTAAGAGATTCTCTTACTTCAAACGGAGGTACGTTCTACATGGGTACACACTGTTTTTTATGGGATCTGACTGCTCAATGTGCTAAGTGTTGGAATTGCTGCTGCAAGGAAGTTTTACAATCGCTTTGTGGAACACAGATACTTTACAGATACGCTG